AAGACTCGAGATTGCCCACGTGGAAGTCATTTTGCACTATGCCACACCCCTTTATTATTTTATAATCTGGGCCCACCCCTTTGCATATATAATGAGGGCCGGTGTAGTAAAGGTGTATGCTCCAACAATAGAGGTGTATGCTCCAATAGTAAAAAGGTGTACCCTCGAGGTGAAAGGTGTGTGCTCCACTTGACGTGTATATTACACTTGCTACCAAGTTATTTTTGGCAGCAATCACCTCCCATATCACGGCGTAGAATTGAAGAGTCACATTCAGGATATTTTCAGTATTTTCATTGAGTAGTTATAGTTATTGCTAGTTATTTTCGAATAACTACTCAAGAATACCGAAAATATCCTGAATGTGACTCTTCAATTCTACGCGGTGATGAAGCAGGGGGTATATGCACAGTAGGACACTCTCTTCTAAGTATTATCTACTCTTGCTACCAGTAATAGGCCCAGTATGACAAGATACATAAAAACTATTCAAAATACTTTCAAAAACAAACAATATCAGTCTATATAAATATCTTCATCATTAACTCTTAATGAACCATCATGTCTATGCATCCTTTTATAATGGATGACTATAAAAATGGCTACTATATGATGACAACAAAAAATACTGTCGCTACGAATGCAACCAATACACCAACAATGACTCCAACGACAACTGCAGAACTAATAGAAGACTCTGTAAATACAAAAGGTGTATCATATATAATAAAAATAATGGTCTTACTTCTATTAGAGCATCTTACAACAGTTTCCAGTTGACCATTGAAGCACTGTGGATTACTAGCAAAACTAGTCTGGGCGGCGCCAGACTACAGCAAAACTTGAACTGGAACCTGGTTGACAATTATCACAAGAACAAAGGAATCTATTCAAATACAACATCCCCTGAGGAGAACCCCTGTATAGGGTCTGAGCAAGACTTGAATTTGAAGAAAGGAGCTCACCAACTAAATAAAAATAAACACAAGGATGTCACACATATGAACAAAGAAGCTATAAATAACTTACATAGAATTTAGAAATCCTGCACTATTGCATAAAGCTAGTCCCAATTCAGGATAATTAGTACCATCATTACATATCCTGGCATATGTCCCTGTTATACAGAACTGTGGTATTCCAGTGGTATAACTGATTCCATCAATGGTTGCCGTTTGACTATTAAATAAAGTAGCAAAGTAGTCCTCATTACAAGCTATAGAAATAATTAAGTATAGTGCATAATACTATATAAATAATACTATAAATAATACTATAAATAATATTATAGTAAATAATACTATAGTACATTAAGTTGTGTAGGAATTTAGACCTAATTATTTGATTTTTACAAATTTTAAAGTCAATCAAAGATTGGGCTAAGTAACACAGAGCAATGAAACTTTTCTCAAAGTTTGCATTAAATTTCTAAGAGAATTTTTATTAAATTTTCTGATCCATAATACAAGTACATATGTTGTAAATGAATTTTAAGTTGATTCTGCTAAAATAGCATCTTAAAATTTTTTTTTACTTTTAAATTTGGCCAAAAACCATTCCATTTTTAAAGTGACAAGAAGGAAAATTCTTTACAAAAATAATAGGTACAGTGTACCTCACAAATGAAGTGGGTATTTCTGCACATAACATGTCAATATTGGTGCTACG